TCTTGGACTGCTTGATATATGATGCTGAGTATGTGTATTTTATTTAATAAAATTTTTTATTATATTTGTTCTTACTCTGTAACTATAACTCATTGATAAATAAATAAAAGATTTTTTTTTGGTTCAGCTTATTTTATTTTATGTTTACAGTTGTTACTCCACAAAGAAATAAACTGAAATCAATTTGTAACAAAAATTTTGAATATAATATTTATAAAAAATAATAAAATAAACAAAATTATTACAATGCATGCCATTTAATGTAGCATCATTGCTAAATATTCAGTATCTTGATTAAGTAGTATTAAAAATGATCTTAAATTCAGTTAAAAATGATGGCTAATAAAAACACATGAGTTTACTCAATTTTTAGAATTTTATTTTTTTAAATATTTATTTTTATATTATTTTTTCATTTCATAAGCTCTAATCTACGTTTCGATTCTGCCTTCATAATATCTATTTCGTTTTTTACTTTCTCTAACTCTTCTTTCATGATTTCTATCCTTTTTTTGTGTTCTTTTTCCATCAATTCCACCCTTATGTCATGCTCTTTCTGCTGTTGCTTCTTTTGGTCTTCCATTATTTCTAACCTCTTATCTGACTCTATTTTCATAATTTGAAGCTTTTTGTTTGATTCCTGTTTGTAGGGATGATGCTTGATCCGCAATATAGGCCACCTTGGCTTTCCCCCATTTCGCCACTGAATTTGTCAAATTCTTTTTGGGACCTGTAACAAATGGAACATTTTTACAAGTAATACTACTTATTACTTAATTAATACTACTTATTAAAACTAAAGTTTAAAAATATTTATATATTACCTAAACGAAGCGGTTCTGCTTTTTTCTTCTTTAACATTTTGGGGGTATAGGCCGACCAATCATCTGGTCCAATAATCGAATCTGTAAATGAAATATTTTAAACCAACTTGTTTACAATATAACAAAATATAAATTACCAGGGTCACACTGCTTATTATCTTGATGTTTTGGTGAACTGCAGTGTGGACTCACAAAAGATACTTCTAAAAAATAAACCAAATAGTAAATAAATACTAAATTAATATAATATCTTATCTTGGTTTGGAATTAGTATTTCCAATACTTCTGGTTGATCTTGTTCAGTGCCAGTTCTGGATTCTTCTGAAATAAAAAATATTTTTAAAGTTGAATAACCATTCCAAAATATTAATACTTATTGGCTAATTTTTATTTAACATATTACATGTAGTATTGGCAACTGAACACAATACAAATTAAAAAACGTTTATCTTAAACATAAGTAAAATTAATATAGTATAATACATACCACTAGTCCAATGAAGCAAGTCTGCCTGCCTGTCCTGTGCTTTAAATGTGGAAGGTCCTTGCATTTCTATTTCTACAATAAATATATTTTAAAAATTGGATAAGTATTTTAAAATATAAATATTATTACTAATTTGGATATAGCATATCGATACCTTAATTCGCAAACCGGCCAACTCCACGTTTCATCAAAAATAGTTTTTCGACGCAGTTGGTTTACAATTATAATTCCGCATGATTTGCAAAAACAACCACTCCAATACAATCACTAGTTTCTGTGTAAATCGGTATTCGAAAACCAGCCATCTCCGTTTTCTTCGGAACGTTATGATTTTGACAGCTAACTCCCCTAAGTCGATCATTTTATTCGGCGTTTCAACTACGTACGGGTATCGTTCCACAATTTATGACAGAAAAATTGTTAAAACACAACATAAGGAAAGAAATAGTGACAAACAGTTGGATAATAATACAAGGTATGAATATGTATTTATTTATTTATTAGATATAATTGCTTACCTCCCGTTTTTAAAGATTTAATATTCGCTAGGAGTTGGCTGGTTTGCTTTCTTCGTTTTCACACTAGTGATGGAAGTAATCCAATGTTATGTTTTGTTTTAAGCTGTCGTAAACGATTTAAAAATAATTTTTTGCTTAAAGATTTTTGTTACATTCATAAAAAAGTACAACCATTAGGAGAGAGCAAGTAAAATACATATAATTAATCATTTTTACCTCAAAAATGATATCCTTATACCAATAATAAATAATGTATTGCACTTTTTTAATCTTTATTTTTGATACTTATTTTCTTAATTTGCTCATTCTTGTATTTATTATTGAATTTATGGTGTGGTGATGGCTTTTTTTGATTTTTTTAGATGCTGAAAACACGCACTCAAAAAATATTGCAAATGAGTACTCAAAATAAACAGGAGCGAGATTTAACTAACACTACCACAGAGTCTTTATTGTCACAAAACTCCTATAATTTGGATAGCATGACCAAGCATGATAGCTTAGCTTCTCAATCTGCTTCCTCCATTTTTTTTGCCAATAGCGACATAGATTGTACTGATAACGAACAGCCTCGTATAGAAAAGATGTTTAACGCTGAATACTTCAACGACAGTATTATGTTTGATAGTCAAAGTTGTGTCCATAATAATATGCAGACAGTTAATAATGTTATACTTGAAGAGGTTTACTCACTCAATGAAAATTACAGTCAATCATTATTTGACACGAACACCAAAAATACGGTTAATCCTATTGAACCAATTACATGCAGCATTAACCAAAATGATACCTTATTAGTATTGAATAGTGATTTAGTCATTGATATGCAAGAAGAAGAGCTAACGGATCCTGCATCTATACCTAAAATCCCAACTGCCTATCCTGAATTAATGAAAAAACTAGTTGATTACAGTGAATCTGATTCTGAATATGACGAACCTGTTATCAAAAGAAAGAAACGGTGTCAAGTAAAGAAAGACCAATGGGTTAGTCAAAGGAATAAAAAGAATAGGGAAACGGGTAAAGAATACTGCGGAAAGCAAAAAATTGATGGAAAGTGGAGAAAAGATATAAAGAAACCAAAAAAAAATATGAAGCCTCGATGTAATTGTAAAGAAAAAAAGAATAGTGTTATCCAGTGCAATATTATATCTGAAAATGATCGAAAAACATTATTTGATCAGTTCTGGACTTTTACTTGGAACGAAAAACGACTTTACATCGATAATTTAGTAAAAGTTATTCATACAAATAGACAAAGGGATAGGAAAGATCCAGAAAAATCTAAGAGAGTTAATACTTTTATTTACCATCTAAAAAAAGGCGAAGCTATGATCCGAGTCTGTAAAACGTTATTCCTAAACACTTTTTCCATCGGTAAATCATGTATTTGGGGTTGGAAGGTTCAAACTACAGGAAAGAATACCAGTGAACCATTAAAAACAAATATTACAAGAAATCCATTTGATGAAGAAATTAAAACTTTGCATGACTTTTTAGATGGTTTACCCAAAATGCCGTCCCATTATTGTAGAAAAAGGACAACACAGACATATATACAATCAGACATTTCATCCAAGCAACAGCTTTACAAAATGTACACAGATTATTGTGAGTCAAAAAACAAAAAAACGTTATCTATTGCTACTTTTACATACACTCTTACAATACGAAAAATATCTCTCTTTAAACCAAAGAAAGACTTATGCGAAATTTGTAATGGATACACGTTGGGTCATATTGGAAAAGAAATTTATGAAGAGCACATAAGTAAAAAAAATGAAGCAAGAATGGAGAAGGAATCTGATAAAGAAAAGAAAGAATTTGTCTTTACCGCCGATCTTCAAGCTGTACTTTTGGCGCCACGCTCCAGCGTGTCATCTAATTATTATAAGACCAAACTCTGCGTTCACAACTGGTGCATTTATGACATGAAGCATAGTGATGGATATTGCTTTCTGTGGAATGAGGCTGAAGGAGGATTGAATTCTGATGATTTTGCTACGATTTTGGTGAACTTTCTTATGGACAAAGTAATTCTAAAAATGGGAGAAGACAACAGGCACATAATCATGTATACTGATGGCTGTTGTTATCAGAACCGAAACGTTACTTTAAGCAACGCTCTCGTTAACTTAGCTTTGCTACACAATTTGACTATTGAACAAAAATATTTGGAAGTGGGCCACACACAAATAAAGGTCGATAGCATGCACGCAATGATAGAGAAAAAACTTAAAAATCAAATAATTAATGTTCCAGCTGAGTACATTACCATTTGCAGGAAAGCGAAGAAATCAAAACCTTACACAGTTGAATACTTAAACTATTCCTAGTTTAAGAATTTTAAACAGCTAAATTTTTACAACTCCATAAGACCAGGAAAACTGAAGGGAGATCCTAAGGTATTGCTATTTAGTAAATCGTAATCATTATTTTTGATTATATTGGATCGGTGTTTTTTTATCTTTATTTTTCAGGTGACCGAAATTCGAGCTCTCATGTATACACCCTCTGGACAAATATTTTATAAGCTTAGATTTTCTGAGGACTATAAATTACTCAATCAACGCAAAAATTCCAGAATAAATACAATACCGTTTCAAGATTTGTCAAATTTGTACCCTGAACACAGAAAAATTACAAGAAAGAAATATTTGGATTTACAGCAACTAAAGAACTCGATGCCGAGAGATTACCATAAGTTTTATGACGACCTTCCTCATCAAGACTAGAAATAATACGTTATAAATCATAATATAGGTATAATTCCGTTTGTTTTGTTTTAAATTATACCTATTTTATAATCACCAATGGATTTTTATTTGAATTAATCTCTGGTGCATACCAGCTAACTCCAACAGTACGTATCTTTCCTGTGAAAGAAAATTGGATAACTGCTTAAAATACCCTAGAAGCGTTGCAAGGATCATTCCAAACGATTATGTACTAGCAAAAATAATAGGTAATAATATTATCTACCAACTGGATTGTAATTTTTGTCGTCAGTAGCTTATAAAAAATATTATAATGTTTTATGTCTCTCCTGAAAAATTTGTTCAAATGGAGTTGGCCGGTTTGCGAATTAAGGTATCGATATTAAATGTATTAATGGCAAATAAATACAAGCACTAGTTGCAACTGAACATGTGCTAATTAAAAAACTTTATCTTAAACATAAGTGAAATGAATATACATACCACTTGTCGAGGGAAGCAAGTATACATAGATGTCCAGAGCTTTTGAGGCGGATACTTCTTGCATTTTCCTTTCTAAAATAAAAACTATTTTTAAAATTTTGGAGTATTGGAGCATAAAAAAGTATTGTAAAATATCAGTATTAATACTTATTCCAGATGCTAATGTTAGTATAACATATAGTAATGGCAACTGAACACGTGGTATTTAAAAAAACTATCTGAACCATAAATGAAATAAAGAAAATATATACGTACCACTTGAGTCATAATCATAGGAAAACAGTAATCCAGTAATTTGTGGGCCTATGATATCCTGGAGAACTTCTTCACTATCTGTGAAAATTGGCGTCTTCGCGAGACCGCCCCCAGTTCCACTTGAATACCGTTTTAATTCTGCAAATTTTTGCTTGGTGCGTTTTTTTAAGTTTTCATACTTGTTTTTTAAAACTTTAACATCTCGCACAGTTTCCCCGCTAACAGAATTAAATTCTTTTGCTAGTTTCATCCATGCGTCCCACTTCATTTTATTATTAGTCATGTCCGTTTTCTTACATTCTAAATAGTCCTTATATTTATAAACTAAATCTAATAAAACCTTTTCCTCAGTTTTTGAAAAATTGGAAACTCTTTTCGCCATTTTATTATTAAAAATTAACACAAACACCAACAAACACTATCACTTCTGTTTAAAACAATAATATTTTTACCCGCCAAATATCACGTCATACTTTAACAATACCAATAGCTGAATCATATGCACCAACTTACCAACTTAAACCTTACTAGAAACTAGGGATTTTTGCGTTGCCAACGATCATTAAGGGCGGGTTGTAACTCGAGTGGTTAACCTCTAGTCAATGGTCAAATGTCCAAACATCGTTGTAACTCGGTTTGACCGTGGTTAATCGACGGGTTAACCTTAGAATTTTTGATCCGCTAAACTTGATGGGTTAACCTTTGGTCAGGCCAAAGAACAATAAAATATTTTCTTAAAAACAGTGTTCCGAGCCGAGAATGCCTCCTTGGTGGTGCCGAAAAACATATCATAATTAATAATTGTGTTTAACCTCAATTTTAAGTGGTCTGTTTTTTGTTTTTATGTACATTGTAATAAAATGAATTTAGAACGAGGCGATCTGCAAGAACTGCAGTTAACAGATGATGAAGACTTTTTAGAGTTACTGGAATTAGAATTGTTCCTTAGGGCTCCAAGAACATTCAGGCAAAGAGAAAATCACTTCTTGAAATGGAATCCTGAAGAATTTAGATCTAGATTTAGATTATCAAAAGAAACTGTTCAGTTTATATTGGAAGAGATTGAGGAAGACATTAGTTGTATTAAGTATGGGTAAGTTAATGCTTTATTTAACTTCTGAAGTTATAACTTATTAAACTGCTGGTTTTTAGAGTCAATACTGTAACTGCTGAAGAAAAAGTTTTACTGACTTTGAGGTTTTTGGCAACGGGATCAACATTACAAGCAGTTGGAGATTTCACAGGTAATAATAATTGCATAACAAAATGGCTTTTATATTATATGACTAATGCTTTCTCTGTAATTTTGCCATGGTCCCTAAAGTGAAATGAAGTATTACATTATTGTTAAACTTGATTAGGCTAAATATTTATTTCTTTTAGGTATTGACAAGTCGACTGCCAGTCATATAATTAGAAAAGTTCTGAGAAGCTTAGCAAGACTTGCACCAGAGTTCATTAAAATGCCAGAGACTGAACAAGAAGTGATAAGGGTCCAAGAACAATTTTACAATATTAGTAGATTCCTTAGATGTATTGGTGCATTAGACTGCACGCATATTAAAATACAGTCTCCTGGAGGAAATAATGCTGAAATATACAGGAACAGAAAAGGCTTTTTTTCATTTAATGTGCAGGCTGTTTGTAAACCTGATCTAATAATTCAAAATGTAGTATGTAGATGGCCAGGATCAGTTCATGATTCTACCATATTTGAAAATTCACGTTTGAGAGCCCAATTTGAAAATGGAGAGTTTGGACATGCCGTTTTAGTGGGTGATACTGGATATGCCATAAAACCCTATTTAATAACACCATTGGCTAATGTACAACTTCGAGTGGAGCAGTTGTTTAATGAAAGTCAAATTAGAACCCGTAACGCTATAGAGAGATGTTTCGGAGTTCTTAAAAGAAGATTTCCAGTTTTAGCATTAGGAATAAGACTCAATATAGACAAGGTGGAAGCTCTTGTTATTGCATGTATAGTACTTCATAACATAGCACGTATGAGAAACGAACCAGACCTACCTGTTAATGAAAATATTGCAGCAGCGATAGAAGAGGCAAATAATATTAATTTGGTGATACCTGATGCTCCTCGTTTTAATATTAACAATTTGGTTAGGCATAATCTAATTACCCAATATTTTCAAAGACTTTTATAAATCTCTTATGTATCCTTGTATCATAGTTATATTAGTATTATTTTATTGGTTTTTAGCAGAGGTGCAGAATAGAGTTAGATAGAAATATTTGGAGAAGGCCTATGTTCAACAATGGACAAATCAGGGCTGATTGATGATGATGACTACTATAAATTTTATAGTTTTGATAATGCATAATTTACAATACATTTCAAAAATATATAATTTAATACTAATACTCACTGATGCATGGATTGCAATCGAAGAAGGAATACATAAAGTATAAGCCAATATAAAATAAATTTTATTCACAATAATTTATGACAACTGTTTTTTTTTGCAATTCTAAAATATCCATTTTTATACGATGTTCCTCTTTTTCCATTTTTAACTGCTGTTTGTGCCTCTCCTCCCTATGTCTTAATTCTTGTTTATGTTTTTCTTCATTGTGTTGTAATTTCTGGCGGCTTTCATCAATTATACACTTCTGCTGTATAGACAGTAAATCTTGTTTGGACTTGGCCCAATCAGTTAATTTTGATTTCAGTGTATTATCTAAAAAAAAAACAATTTATGGTAATGAATTATGCTATTACTATCAAAACTTTAATCAATTTACTGTCGTTGAACTTATTTATAAGATACTTAATCCTCTAATATCATAGAGTTTTTACATGTTAGTGGTAATAGAATATTTACTACACCATATTATACTTTTAAAACAATTTACACTATTTTTAAAGATAGGACTTTTTAACATACATGTACATCACTTACTTTTTCTGGTATTATTGTCTTCTCTTAATTCTTTAGCTTTAGGAGTTCTAAGATTCTCCACAGACATTTTTGACCAGTTTTTTTCTTCTAAAAAATAAAATAATATAATATTGAAAAACATTTTTTTTTATTAACATACCTACAACAGTCTTGTCTAATTTTGTTTCCGTCACCTCCTCATCTGATTTATAAATTACTGTTAAGTCTTCCTGATTGAGTAGTTCTAAAAGTTAACTATATAATGTAATCTGAATAATAAATATTATTTTGTGTATTATACCTTCCCCCTCTGACACTGTAGATGTTGATGGGGAATATTCTTCATGTTCTATTTCAACTGGAACAGAGTTACAAAATTACATTTCAATATGAGATTACATAAAAACAATATTTCAAAATTGTAAACGAGATGGCTACAAAACCAGCTTACATGAAATTGACTAGTTTTTACTTATTTCGGATGCTAACTGATGATGTAATGGTAAACTTAGGTGGTCCCTACTTTACCTTTACACACTCAATACTCATCTAAATGACAGGATATGAATTTAACTAAAATTTAATGGAAGGTTGAAGGCATATTTAGAAGAAAAATGAACTTACTTTGACTATCATTGTCAAACTCTGAGGTTAAACCAGTCATTCGGGATCCAATTATCTCCCTAATTGTGGTATCCACTTCATTATCTGTGAATTGAATATTAGGACCCCCACCTGTACAATACATCATTTTTTTTGCATTTGAAAATTTCTTTACTGATCTCTTCTTAATATTTGTGTATTTATTTTTTAATACTATCATACTTCTGTAGGTTCCCCCTCTACTACATGCATTAAACTCTCTTTCGATTTGGGCCCATGCTTCATTTTTTTTGTAATTAATGGAGCTATCTGTTTTTTTGTTTTCTATAATAGTTGCATATTTGTTTATCAATAAAAGAAGCATATTTTCTTCACTTTCTGTGAAGTTTACTATTCTTCTATTAGCATTCGATTCTAAAAAATGAAGGTCTTAGACACAATTTTTTCATATTTAATAGTTTCTTACCCATCCTTTTTGAAAAAATATAGTGCTCTTCCAAACTTAGATAAAACAATTAACTTGCTATATCACTAATGTACTAAATATACCTATAACTACTAACCATCTTAATATCACTATACTGTTTAAAATTAAAAACCCCTAAAAATACAACGAATTCACTAATACTACATAAAACAAAGAAATTATAAGACAATCAACTGTATCAAAGCAGCAAAGCTATAAAATGTAAATATAACGAACGGTGCCGCGCCCCCGGCGGTGCTGTCAGAACGGCTTTCTGTCAAAATATTAATGTTGCCACCTTATGACGACTGGTCAATCGACCAACGTGTGTTACAACAAAATACAAATTGACCGCAGTCGAAAGGTTAAACCTTGGTTCTGTGATCACTGGGTTAAACCACTCGAGTTACAACCCACCCTAAGGCGTTGAACGTGAACTACACCTGAACTGTCAATGAAAAATGTATTTCCCGAAATAACCGAAGTTCAACGTTTACTCGTTCTGAACCTTAGTCAATTGAACTATGGTTTAACTTAGTTATGAGAAATCGGCCCTTAATGTATTTGAAAGCAGAGGATATATGGGAATTTGAAATAAAAGATGGCGGCCAGTTGGATGGCTTGTATGTGGTGTTGAGGCCGTAGAAGAAGCCTCTGGGGATGTGGGGGTGATGTACAAGAAATATAAGTATGAAAGAAGTACACCCTGTCGTGATAGGGTTAAAAAAGAGGGTGAGAAGTAGAAAATATGTGTTTTTGTATACAAATAGAAATAATTTGTTGACAGAGTTGGTTAGGTGGCATTGGAGCCTGTGTAGATGTACAAAAAAGCCTCCCCTGACGCTACAGGCTTTGTGTGGTGTGTGTGTGTGTGGTGTGTGGTGTGTGTGTATATATATATAATACCTGAAATACCTAAAATCTACACAATAGAATTTTTATTGCATACCTTGTGTATATTCTTAAGTTACGAGTTTTGTTTGAGTCCTGGTCCCCCTTTACCTGCTATTACAAGCTGTAGAAACTCTTACGTAATGCATCCTATTGTATAACTATGATTTTGTAGTTTCTTCTTTTTCATCATCATTTTAATGTTTTGTCATCTTTTTATGTTTTACTATTACAATTTTACTTCAAACACTTGAAATCTACACAATAGCATAGTATTTGCCGGTAAATCCCGGTTTTTATTTCAAGCCTTCTTGTGTATATTCTTAAGTTATGAGTCTCGTTTGCGTCTTGGTCCACGTTTATCTGCAGTAGAAACTCCTAAGTAATGCATCCTATTATATAATTATATAACTATGATTTTGTAGTTTCTGCTTAGTTGCCATTTTATTGTTTTATAATCTTTTATGTTTTACTGTTACAATTTTAAGTTAGTTTTAACTTTTTATCATTTCAATGTCTTGT